AAACTATGTAACATATCGGAGTGAATCAAAAATTATTATGATCAGCATGAAATTATCTTCTATTTGAACCTACATGGTTGTTATAAAACTGAGTATTACTATTTTTTAAGAGGGTGGGAAGTGAAAACTGATCACCTGAAAATGGCTTTTTTTCCTTCAAATCAAAATTTAATTTTTTTGTCTTGATTTCCTTTTGGTTTTTTAGGTTCAAATAGAAGATACAGGTGTAATGAATACAAAAAAATTTAGTTTACGGATTTCGGGCAGGAATTACGAGCTCTATCGTGTCCATAGCACGGCAACTCAAAGCTCGAGGCGCTACGGAATATGTTCCATAAATCCGCCATTTTGTAAAATATTGTTTATAACTAATTTTTTTTATAATTTCTGATTCTTCTTTTAAATATATCCAAAGTTTCACGACGATTGCTTGACTATTTCTTATAAAAAAATTCTCGAAAAATGGCCAAATTTTGACCGCTTACATGTATATCCCCCCTTAAGAATAGAAAGTACTTAGCATAATTTCCATGATGGTCAAAGCGAAACTCATTAAAAGTAGCTGCTGTTTCTTGGATTCTTCGGACATCGATAAATAAGCAACATAAATAACCAACAGCGAGCACCGTTTCGGAATGTTGTTCAGCAATATTTTTTGAAGAAGCTACCATACAAAAGCTTCTCTATTGAGAGGCCTTTCAACAAAAGGCTAGGCTAGGCCAGACCCATGATTTTTGGTGGCAAGGGAGCCCGCGGACGGACAAGTGCTTATTATTATTATTATATTAGTGCTACGACAGCGTTTCATTATGAGCCGCACAATTGACCCGCCGACTGGAGGCAGGTTCAGGTGGCAGATGGGTCGCCGTGGAACGTGCAGAGCCGCTGACAGGGTCCCAAATCCAAAAGGTGGGGCCAGGCAGGTACACTTAGGGAAAATGTAGAAAAGAAAAAAAGAATTTTAAGGCTAAAAATGCTAGGCAAAACAAGTGGAAATTGTATTTTAAAATGAAAGCTATAAGACCCCCAAAATATATTATTAAAATCTCCCTAGAAAGTTTATCTAGTTTCCATTCTTTTGTGGTTTTTGTTAGATTTTCCTTAAGTGTAACTGGGCAGAGGTAAAGCCCATGGACGTGCCATGGAATTAGCGCGTCAGAACATCAATGGAAAAAGCGCGCCGGCAATTGAAATTTAATTGAAGCCACGGCGACATTAATTGCCGGCTGCTTTTCTTCCTATTATTTTTTTTTCTCTCAAGGAAAGACCTCGACTTCGCCTTCGATTTGGACTCCAACTTCGTGGTTGTTTATCTCTGGACCCTAGGAAGATAAAACCGTTGGAAAACCCTTTCAGCTGTCACTCGGCTGGCCGCTAGCATTATATAATCAGGCAAAGCTCGGAACGGGTTTGGCCGCGTCCGTTGTCAGCTTCATTAAGCTTTTCGCCCAGGCGAAGCTCCACTGGAAACTGTGTGTCCAAAAAGCCAGCCTCAGCCCGGTCTCCAGCCTCGACCATAAATACGCTCCCATCTGGCGGTACTGTATAGTATGTTAAGCCAAGTTAAACGGCAATTTATGCGCTGCCAGCGAAAATACCGTGACAATTTGCAATCAGCAACAGTCGGAGCTGGACCCAAACTCACGGGCTCTTGGCCATCTGAGAGCCTGGCCCGGCTCAGTCCGGCTCCGACTTTATGTTATAATTTAGCCAGAGCTGAGCTTTATTGCCCGAGCGCCACATAGCGGAAATTCAAATGCACACGAAATATGTTTAAGAGCGGCCGACAGTGGTCAACTTTGAGTTGGCTCTTAAATATTTTCATTAAATTAAGAGTTTGCCATCTTAAGACAATATTTTCTCAGGCTGTCGATAAAGAAAATAGTTTAAAATAAGAGGAAAGTAAGGTATGAGATGTAGAGGATGCCTTTAATATCTCATTTTCTTATAGTTAATCTCAAATATTTGTTGACCACAGTGCAGCTCCGCTCCTTTTGTTATTCGCTGGTTTTTGGTTTTTCGCTTCTAATCCCAACTTGCTGCACATGCTTTTGGCATATGTTTGCCAATCTATTTTGGCCAACTATGCGCAGCTGCAGCAAAAGGCTCCCTGGCGATCGTATCGCTCAACTAAAACCCCCCAAAAAAAATAATAATAAAATCGGCGCGGGCTCTTGCGAAATATTTAAGTAAAGGCCCAATCGGGCACATAAAGGTAACACACCCAGACTGGCTGGCAGCGTACAGTAAATTGAGTGGAATTAGCCGTAGACATAAATCACAATCACATTTAATTGCCCAGCAGAAAGAGGTGATCAAATTTTAGTTACCAATTCGGCATGGGAAGCTGCGGCACTTGCCATATGCATGGATATTTTAAGGGAAGTCAAAAACCTTTTAGCTTCTTTACAAGATTTTAATGGCCCTAAATTAAATTCAATAAAACCTCACCATAAATCCCATTGTGGCTTTATGCTACTCCATATAACATTGCCTTTGGCTAAATTTCCCAGGCCTCCAAGTCTCATTTTTCACTTAAGCTCTTGCAGTTTTGTCATTCCTAAGCAGATAATTGCCTGCAAAAAACAAAAAAAATGCCAGGGAAACAGTCAGAGAACGAGGCAAACAAGTTGGCCTTCCTGTACTAATTGCCCACGTCACTTGGCTTAATAGTTAAACAGCTTAAATGCGGCGGGGCGAACACTTTTGGTTTATGGCCTGACCCCTTGCAGCCATATAAATCACCATTCATTCCATTGCGAGCTCCCCTTAATGATCCTGCCCAAGTCCAGCTCGGGTTCTGTCTCCAGCTGCGTTTGGATTTTTTTGCTAAGGTTGTGCAGCCAGCTAATTTTTTGCAACATTTTAAATATTAATAAAAGGAAAAACTACACAAGACTTGGCCATAAATATCGTATGTAAAATACATAATTCAAGATATGGGTGAAGTGGAAGTAATATTCTTTTTTTAAGGTTGAAACTGAAACAGCTTTTTCTTGCAAAACCCTCATCACTGGCTGGAATTTTTTTTGAATAATCACTCGAGACATTAGCTGCAGTGTCCTGCGGGGAAAATCCATCAAGCTGCGAGCTGCAACTTCGACTCCGATTCCGATTCCGACCAGCCGAAACTCATTGGCCATGGCGTGACTGGCAGCGCAAGTGTCTAATTGTGTTTGGGTTTCCATTTTTCCATTTTGTTAGCGGGGACCAGCCACAATCAGAGCGTGTTGCATAATACAATGGCCAAATGCTGTACGAATAAGTACGATTTGTGTATCTCTTTTTATATTGTTTTATTTTTTTTTTTAGCAGCAGTCTGCTATTTTAACAAGCCGCCGCACATTCGAAACGATAGTGAAACGAGCATGCAAAAAGTATTTTAATTGACTGCCGCACTGCAGTTGGCGAGAAAACAGAAACGGAAAAAAAATGCAAAAATCCATGCAAAACAATTGCCTTTTGGCGGAGCGACAAATTGTCATGGGAGTTGCTGGAGTTGCAGCTCCCAGCTGCAGGCTCCCAGCTCCATGTGACCCTCGCGGCGCATTGAACTCCCGATCGGTGCGGCGGAGATCCGTCGCAGGCCTTTCATTGTCTCCAATCTTGGATTAAAGTGGCCGGCGCATTGAGATGCAATAAATTGCTGATGGCATGCAAAGTGGATGTTCTAGTTGAAAGCCATAGAAAGTGGCACACTGGCCAACATGTTTTTGGCACTGTCAGCGCTTCCACCGTCCAACATCCAACTGGGTCACCTGGCTGCATTTCACCTGATGCACAGTAGCCGCCGCCGCAGCGGAGGAGGAGCTGGCCGAGCTCGATCGAGCGCGAAATTAATTGCTTCAATGACTGAACAAAATTTCATATCATATTTTTTGGTTTCGGGGTCGCTAAAGGGTGGACTTGCTGCTGCTGCCGTTGCTGCTGATGCTTTTTGAAAGTAAATATAAATCAAAGGCCTTTCGCCTTGGACAGGCTCTCTAAGGTGGAATACCCCAAGGGCCGGTGAAACGTGAGCCGAGTTGGACCACAAAAGGCGGCGTCTGGGCGATTGTCATGACATGACTTACTTAACTTTGGCGGGGCTTATCTAGCGCCTACACTCGAAGAATTGTCATGATTCGTTTCTAGACTTTATTAGAAATTTTAATAAATTTATTTGTCAAGAAATGAGGTATATTGGCCCGTTTCTGTACACAGAAAATAAGTTTGTGTCTTAAGTCTTTCGTTTTTCAATTTCTTATTCATATTTAAAAGCTAATTTGGTATCTTAAACTTATTTTAAGATATAAATTGGGACTTATAAATTGTAATTTAAATACAAAATGATGACCCAACTATTTACTAGTCTACATATACCGTGAGAAAAAGTCTTCGAAATAGATTAATAAAGTGAATCCCAAAATAGTTTCAAAATATTTCCAAGAATTTCTTAGGGGTTTTTAGAGGCCATTGTGTAACTTTAAGTGTATCAACTTCGTTCTCGGCAACTGCCGTGCCGTTCCCTAACGTTCTTGTGGCTCTGAAGCTGGAGCACAAATTCAATTATCACGACGGAGCGACAGCGGACCAAGTCGAGCTGGCCAATAAATTATCTTAGAGCCAAATGCCTTTGACAGTGCGCTGTAAGCCGAGAGCTGAAAGCCGAGAACTGACCCAAAACGTGCAGAACTTTGGCAGCTGTGTTGGCCCAAAGTTCTTCTCTGGGCAATCTCCGGGTCCAGAGCGCTGCCTTTGCCTTTTCTGCAATTAATTGCCACTACGGCCCGGACCCGGGACCGGGCTCGGTCTCGGGCTCTTTGGCTTCCCATTTAAAATTAATTTGAATTTTCCTCTTTGGCTGCTGTTTTCACTGTTTGTCCAATGAGTTGGCATTAATTTGCGAACCCATGTTTTTTTTGGTTGGTGCGTTCCCAGGGTCCAGAAATCGGGTCAAAGTTATTAACCGAAGAAGCTTCGCATAGTTTAACGCTTTTCGCATTTCGTATTCATTGCAGGTCACCACACAGGAACCGCCAGCGGCGCCGGGAGAGTTTGCTCCCCATGTCACCGCCACTTGCAAGGCGGGCACAATGAACATCAAGGTCAAGATGAGCTCCGGCTACACGGGCGCCGTTCATGTCCGGGACTATCGCACGCCCGGCTGCATGGCCATGGGCGATGGCAGCGACTCGGTGGCCTTCAGCCTGAATCTCTGGGCCAAGCAGGGCGCCAGCGACTACTGCGGCATCCTGGTCAGCAACGTGAGTGGAAGCAATGTAAGCATAACCCCCAGCGCTTTTCTAATCGAATTAATAAATTAACCCTGGCATAAAGTTGATGTTGAAAGGTGGAGAAAATTTAAGAAATCAGGAGGAGATGAGTGTTAGTTAGGGAATCGAAATGGGATTATTTCTTTAGAGATTTATATATTATATTATATTTTTAGTTAGACAACAATTGAGCTCCGTAAAATTATCTCAATTTGGAAGATAATCATAATGTATTTCCCTGAGAGACATTCTCTACACTTAATGCTAGAACATACACAAAATTACTGCAAAGAACATACGAATTTTAGAATTTAATTGAGTGCGAAATTATAAAGGAGACTGGAAGCACACTTATCCAGCTTTATCCGGTCTTGCCACCCAGTTACTCACGCAGCCAGCAAGTTCGTGTCTTAAGTCTTTCGTTTACCGCCGACCGCTTGACAAATGGCAAATTAATTTTGTCAGCCAGGCGACTGTAGTTTGCAAATTACCACCAAAATTCAGGCAGTCAACAAGAGAAGAAAGAAAAAGCCACCAACTGTGAACTATGAGGCAATCGCAGGCAGCTGGAAAACTGCCGACCCGAGACAGCATTCAGGGGCCACAGAACGAAGACTGGAAACTGCAGATGAAAGACTGAAACCTAGAGTCTGCTGAAAGACCTGAGTCTGAGACCTTGTCTGGCTAAAAAGGGCACGCATGCGCATAAATTTAAGCCCGCCTATCGGCCGTGTACTTGAGTCTTGGCCCCAAATCAACGCAAATCAGCAAACGGCCAGGGGAAACGATGGACTGGTCGGTCGGCTGGCTCGTCTATATAGTAACGATGGCAATAAAAATCAAGTTTAATCCTACGTGCATCACAGGCGTTGACAGGCAGCGACTGCAATTCCGTGTGGGTCTGGCCCTGGCTCCGGCACTCACTCACTCTGATCCGGCTTGGCTTTTCCACACGCACTCAGAACAAAGCCAGACAAAAGGCAAATCGCATTAGCCATAGTCATAGTCCAAGTCAGACTCATCCCGTCCTCAGTACCAGTCCCGGTGCGTGGAAATGCAAATTATCCAGAGGGCTGGACGCCAGATGCTTATAAGTACAAGCACATACAACATTATTAATTGCAATGTCAAATCCCACCGACCGCACCCTGTATTCCAATTTTGTTGCCTTTTGCCCTGCCTTGGATCCAGAAATCTAGAGCCCAGCTTCAGGGTCTGAACTTCCTCTCGCAAAACAAAAAAAAAGGGGAGGTCCCCCATAAAATTAAATCACGCTTATCGCAACTGCGGCTGGGATTTTATTTTTATATGAACACAAACACGCATATAGATAGCTGTTTATATATAAGGTCGTACAGTAAAAGGTCGGAAGAGTCAACTTTTTAAATGAGAAAATATAAATGAATTTATAGAAAGGAACAAAAGTTAACTTGAAATAATATTTACGAATCTTAAACTGAAAGGTTAAAGATTAAAGTACTGTAGATCATATTTAGCCTATTTTTTTAAATTATTTTCTTGAGGTTCCTCGAATTCTTAAGTTCCTTCCTGCCATCCTTTACTGTACCTTAATGTTTGTTGGCTTTTCTGGCTGGGAGTGCCCTGGCAGCTCGCGCCGGCGTCTAGTTTCAACTGCAGACTGCTGATTTCACATGCCCAGACACGGCTTTCCACGCTTCGGCTTTGACAGCATTCCAAGCCGTTGTCGAGGCTGTGATGTGGCTTAAATCCGAGTGGGCCATTGTTGTGGCTAGTGCGTGGAATTTGTGTCAAAAGAATGTTTTTGTGCGGCGGCAATTTTGATTCTATTTCTTCTCGCTTGGCGAATATTTTGCGAGCGACTTTAATTGCTTGCAAAATGCCTTTAGGCCAGCGACATTGCTGCTGGTCTGACCTTGGCCAGTTGAATGCAGACTGCAGACTGCAGTCTAAAGTCTCGGCCACTTTCGCCCTTGTTGATCCCACTCTGGCCAAAAAGCAAAACCTCGGCCTGCTAGCAGCTGGCAGAGCATGAAATTGGCGCTGACAATGGCCAAGACGCCCAGCTATTTTTACATAAAGTTCAAGACGCTTTGCGGCTGCTGCTGGCGTACTTGAACTTATTTCTTATTACCAGCACCATTATTGTTATTACTTTGAGTGGGTTTGCTTTGGCTGCCATAATCTGGCTTTGCTTTGGTTCTTTGCCCCAGCACCATTATATATATTTAAATGTTAATTGCAAATGCAATGGCCGGAGATAGAAATAGAGATGTAGGCAGAGAGGACCCAAGGCAATTTGCCATCAGGCAATTTCAACACATTTTAGCTAGGTAATGGGGAGTTACTCTTACACTGGGGAAATACAAAGTTAAAGAACATAAATTATAGATTAAGAAAAGTTCTAGTGTTCTAGGAGTAAAGTATATACTCTTAGCTAGATCTTTTCAAAGTCTTGCTAAAACAATATTTAAAATTTAAAAGAATAGGTTTTCAATAGAAGAATATAAAACTAGAGGAAATATATAGTTTGGCAAGGCTCTACATTAGGTTTTAAGAGAGCCTCTTTCTAGAATCTAAGATTTCCTCTGTGTGCATCAACTTTGAAATCAACTTTGCCATTTTCTTTTGGCTTTTGATAATAAGTTGATAATGAGCTCATCCGCTGCGGCATGCAACTGCGTGATGCATGAGTTGGCCAGCAGATTGTGACATCATTGCTGTTGGCCAACAGTCCCGCGATTCCATCCATTGGATGCCAGGTATTTATAACTGCTGCGATATGTTGTGTTTATTTGCTAACCGCTTCAACTAAGCCCCTGACCAGACACTAATCAAGCAGGCCCATTCATCGGCTCTGCTGGCCACATTTAATACCGCAAACATGTGGAGGCGTGGACCATTAAACCAATAACAGCGAGATAAAATAATAAAATAATAATAATATATATATTTATACCTAACCATTGACACAGAGCAAACTGGTTTGACTGGCAGCTGGTGGAAAATGTAAGCGATGTAAGCAAGCCACACAGAAGTGACAAAGAAACTTGTACTTTTTGTACATCTTTTTATGGAAAGCTGTTCGCTGTGTTCGATGGCAATTGCGATTGCGGGTCAAGGCCAATCGATATATAAATATAATATAGGAACGATCAGTAGTTAGTATTACAAAATATCTTAGTCGGGTTGCTTAGGCAAACACAGTTAGATAATCGCAATTACCGCTGAAAAATCTTGGCCAGCGAAGCGCAGAGATTCTTGGAAACGCCTTCCTCCATCTGCAGTCACATACCGCTGCACAATCCACTATCCGCAATCCGCAGCTGCATCTGCAGATGATATTCAAAATGAGCTTAAAAATAATTACCGAAAACCATGATAGCCATAATGGCTTGAGCATAATCAAGCAGCCGGCGGCAAAAGGAAGGAAAAGCAAATAGAGGGAAAAGCGAGGAAAGGCAAGAGCCAAGGAGCTGGAGGCGAAGAAAATAAACAACTTGAAAATGCGTCACACTTGGCGGCATTTTGCATTTCCTAGTTGTGCGATTGCATCATGTGACAATTAACATGCCACAAGTGCAAGTTGCAGCCATGGTCGCGGGGCAGCCACTTACACTTGAAGGAAATGCGTTAGGAATTATATTAAATGGGTGTAAGGGGCTAAAAATAAATTTTAAAAAATGAAGTAATATTTTTAAAACAATTTAGGGGGGTTTTTTTATAACTTTAAGGACTTTAAAAGTTTGGAAAAAATAGGCTAATATAAGGTTTCTACACATTATAAGTTTTGTGAATATTTTTTATATTTAAAAAATTAAATTAAACTTTATATATAATTTTTTCAAGTGATTTAACTTCACTTTAGTAATTTCATGGTAAATTATGTGTGTTCTAAGCTTGTCAGAATTAATTGGTTTATTTTTCAAGGAATATATTTATTTCTTTTGCAACCTCAGATGCAGTCATTAACAACTTATCAGACTCATAAAAAAGAAGTATATTTCAATTCCATAAATAGATATTTAATCCCAGAACAGTTTTTCTCCAAGTGCTAACAGTCGGCCTCGATCCTTTGCTCCTGTTTTATGGCCAATGCCTGAGCTGGTCTAAGCATAAATTGGAACCTAACTCGGGCTTTTCCAACCAATCAACATTAACGTCATGGGCATAAACTTTTAATAACCGGCAATTAAACGGTGATCTCCCCCTAAAAACCGCATCTCTTAACCCTTTCCTCCTCCTTTTGATTTCCATCCCCCGCAGCGAACCGAGGAGCGTTCCATTCAGCTGGCCGTGCGTGTGCACAAGACTCTGGAGCTGGCGGACGATAAGTTTTATGTGATTACCTGTGGCAAATCGGGCTTTGCGCGGTAAGTTACCTACACAGGAAAATATATTTTACTACGAATTAGAGTCTATTTAGTTTTAATTGTTATTAAAATCAAGGGAATATGCTAACATCTTTCTGAAAATTGGTTTATAAAACCAAATAGACATCGTTGAAATCACTTTAGAAGAATATATTATTTCCTTAGAACAAGTTGACTATTTTAAATATCATTTTGAGACCATGAAGATGTTATATTTTATGGTAGTAATATTAATAACAAGTTGATCTTATATAAAAAAAAGGTTCTCCCTTATATAGACCTGATCCATACTCCACTTTTCTTGATGTGCAATGCGAATCCAAATCCAAATGCGACTGCGACTGCGGATGCTTAGGCTGTCTAGACAATTGCACTTAAGTTCTTCTTAAGTTTCGACGGTAATTTTTTGGTCAGGCTTCCGTCAGTCCAAAGTGCTTGCCAATTTTAGGTGCCGGGCCGAGAACAAATGGACCCGCAGAGCAAATTGTGCTGACCAGCGATGGTTTTATGGATGCATGTAGGTGTTGCTCTGCCATTGTTCGCGTTTCGCTCTATCAAGGCCATTGAGCTCTTGGCCACAATTCGATTCTTTCACTCAATCACCTCATTTGTGCGGGCAAATCAGCACCAACAAAAAAAAGCTACACCCAAAGTAGGAAATTCCCAAAAAAAAAGTAGAATAATCAACAAAATTTTTAGTGCTCGCTTGGCAGCAGTTCAATTAACGGTAAACGTCTGGAGAGGGCCTCGATAATCATCTTGAGGTGAACGAAAAACAATTTAATTTACCTTCTCGCCTCGCGGCTCATTTGCATAATGCCAATGACTCCGCTCAACTCTTAGACTTGCGACTTACGCAAGTATTTCCCAAAGTAAACCCCATAGCGTCAATACGTATAAAAAACAAAAACCAACCTCGGTTGAGAGATGGGAAATAAAAATGGCATTAAAAACGGTTTTCCAAAAGCGATGCGCTCTGTTAAGCCCGGAAAAAAGCAAAGAAATTGTTAACAGAATATGTGTAGTAAACGCAAACATTAAAATCGTGCCAGTCGGTGTACAAGGCGAACAACAAATAGTTTTAGATATTTTGCCCACATGTACAGTGAACACATTCAGTGCACAGTGGAGCTAGACATTAAAGTATCACAAGTAGTTCAGTGACAGGCTTAAAATATGCTTTTTAGTGTCACTTGTATATGATTTTTATATGGCAAACATTATTTTTATGTCTCTAAATATATTTAAATATTCATTAAATTTCTTTATAATTATATTCAAAACTTTTCCTTTACTTCAATAAATTTTTATGAACTGTAAATTAAATGTTCTACAACTTTTTATTACCATTTTTTTGCAATCTCTTGTTGTTTTCCCACCCATCTGGCCCACAAAAGCAACTGTCTATAGCGCAATGACCGACAATTGCAGTTGCATAATTTGCGATTGCAAAGTTGGCAAAGCCCAAAGCTTTTGGCTCTATTGGTTATGCTTTTAATTAGCCCCTGGCGCATGGTGTAATTACAGAGCATAATTTGCACCGTTAGTAGCCAGCCCTCTCATGTTCGAACCCTCTTCTTGCTACCTCTTTTCCAGCGATGACAATGCCCATGTGGTGCTCAAGTTCCTGGAGAATGATCATCGGGTGCGTGAGACGGTCTATGGCCACCAGTACAAGATCCGCGCCGAGTTCTCCAAGCCAAACGGTGGGTAGTCTTGGCCCTTGGGCAATGCTTTCTAACTTGGTAGTTAACGCTATTCTCTATACCCTGCTATTACCATTTCCAATCATCAGATACCTATGGCCTGCGAGTGGGTAACTGCTTTGCCTTTGACAAGAAGAACAGGACCCAAAAGCTCACCGATGATAGCGGGTAAGTGGAAATACTATTTATGGGTCTTTAGAACTTGAATTACAATTTAAACACTTGACTTGGATAATAAAGAAAAGTTACAGATATGTAAATGTAAGCTTACACTTTGTTGTTCCCCTCTAGCTGCCCCTATGACACGAATATCATCAGTCGCTTTGTGCCCACAGCAGATGGACGAGCTGCCGAAGCGGTGCTTAGATCGATGTTCAAGTTTCCCGAGGGTATTTCCATCAAATCCTCGCCTGAGGCACCAAGACTCTAACTTCTTCTTCGACTTTCTCTCTAGGATCCGAGGTGCATCTGCAGTGCGATGTGATCCAGTGCTATGGTCGCTGCGTGGAGATCGATGACTGCAATGATGTGGCATTGGCTGGATTTGGCAAGGGCACCAATGGACCCAGAAAGTTCGGTCCCAACGAGGAGGGCTCCAGCCTGGCCGGAACCACGGTCTTTGTGCTCGATCCCAACGAGGCCAGATGTGAGTTTTGGCGCTGAAGTGTTTGTGTTATTTATGATATTTTAACTATCTGTATCTGAGCAGTGATCTCGGGCAATTGCGAGGATGGCATCCGACCCAGTTGGCTGCTGTGGCTGACCATTACCTTGGGTGTACTCTTCCTGATCATGCTGCTGATGAACATCTTCCTTTGCACCGCCATGAGCTGCAGTTGTGCTAACACAGAGGTAATAAATACTGAAACCCAAAAGGAAACATAAAACTATGCTACCTATTTAATGTTTCGAATAAATCTAAACGAATTAAATTTTTACAGATAATCGAGAAGGAGCCATCCATCATCGAGGAGTACGATCCGTATCGCAGTTGGCATGGCAGTCAGTATGGTTCGCGGTATTCGCTGCACGGCAGGGATGCCCACAAGGGATACACCAGCGGTGGCTCCACGATACACTCAAATAGGTCTGATAGATATTAAGATGCCTCTACAAAACACAAAAAAAAACGTAAAAAACCTACAGAAAACACACACACACGACACAACTCTATTCTACACCTCAAAATGCATCTATTTTCTGGTAGCTGCGGAGCCACACACACAATACAAAAGCATGCCAACAAAGTATCTTATATCTGCGTATCTCTATGTATCGTATATATATATTTATATATATCTGCCCAGCTGGACAACACAACCGATCACAAAAACAGAAAAAAAAATTCAAAAAAACCATAGAATGAACAACCATTTCGTGCCTAGTAACTGCAACTGTAATTAACCGATAGTAACTTGCATTTGTCTACCGGTAATCACTAACTCTCTCCCTCCCACTAAACCTATGCTACAGCGACTATAATTTCCAGCCTGCCCATACTTAAATTAAATTACAAAAAAAAAAAAGAAAACAAGAAAAGACAATCGGATGACTAACCGCCAATTTGAAAGAGTTGCTAACCAATCTGTCTTGACTCCCACTATCTGCAATTTGAAATTGTTTTTTATTGTATTAAATCCAACCTTATCCAACGTACTTCGAAGGTCAATGCCAATCGATAACGATAACGATTATGCCATCGTGCATTCGCGTCCAGGCTCTAGACATTCCACGTTACACGGACAGCGCGCCCATCGGGGACCGCCCAGTAATATTTGAACAGATCCCAATAGGAACGATAGGAACGCGACAATAATGAACGCTAATTCTTTAAGTTAGATTAAGTAAAGCAGGGGGTGTCAAGGAAATTGCTAGAAATTAAAAAAAGAGCACCTTAAAGGGTGTCTATTTCTAGCCATTTCTGTGATACCCCCCGCATACATATATGTATGTCCCCCTTTCCCATCTCTCGAACTTGAGTCTCAAATGTACATAACTAAGTGAAAATTCTCGCCCTGCCCTGCAAGTTTTCCAAATTTCTCCAAAACGAACGTTAGAGATGATGATGCCGCTGTAAAATACTAAACTAAACGTACTAAAGTTCTCTTTGCCTAATTGTAATTGAACAACTTAACATAAGTCATTAGTCTGTCATAAGTGCGAACGAATGTGTATTAGTGAAATGTTTCAACTACTTGTAACTTGTAAAAATATAAACAAAAAGCAGGCCAACAAAATTAATTTAAATTAAAAGCTACAGTATAGTCTAAAATGTTAAGAAGCAAACATTTGGCAAATGCGTTAAACGTACGAATTGTAATTAATTATAAATTTAATGATTTAATTTAATAAAAAAAAACTAAAAAGAAAATATTTAAGATTTTTATTATTGTTCTTTTTCATTTTTGAAAGGGGTAGAGAAAATATTACAAATAAAATATTTAAAAAAAAATTAAAAAATTGGGAGAACCTAAGAAATTTCTAAAGCTTAATTTATCTGGTTGCGGTGGTGTTTTTAAACTCTCATAGAATTGTTTATTTAAAATTTATTTCTATTAAATCAAAAAGAAGAATTTAAAAGTACCTTTTCAAAACATTTTTTGTGTTCAACTTGTCGAATACGTAATATGCATTGACTTATTTATGAATTGCTTTTCTTTAAATTTACCCAAATAAAATACTTATCACAAATTGGACATATGGTATATTTTAGTCAAAATATTCAATCAAAACATAGTTCAAATGTTTACCATGAGTAAGAGTAAGTACCAACAAAATGTATCTAGGAGAGACTGCATAAATTTGATTAATTACTACAATTATTGTATGGATTATGTATATTTTTAAATATTTTTTATTAAATATATTTCTTAAATATATAATTTAAATTTTAAACATTACCATTTCTATTCAAACCTTCCTCAAGCGCATTCAATGAAATAAAAGGCAGCTTGAATAACACGTGTGCCTGAAAGTATGCAATAGTTTTTCAAAATTCAGGTACTAGCGCAGCACAAGAGCCAAGGTGCACCGTCAGGCGCTCATAATAAACTAAAAATAAATGTGCAAATACAAATAAATTACAATCTGAGCGTAAATATGGAATATAATTATTTTGAAAAGGTTTTTATTAATTAATTTTATATATTATGCTTTATGATTCATCCGTTTTTTTTAATAAACAAGAGTGAGTAAGTACTTCCGGAGCGTCGGCGCCCACCCTTGTTCACTTCAAATCCCGCCCTGCGCTCGGCTTATCTTCCCCGCTCTCCGGCAACGAGTTTTTCGCTCTTTTCGGCTCTCTCCCTTCCGTGGGATTCGCACTCGCTTTCAGCACAGCTGTCGTTGCATGATTTTCGCAGTCTCAGTTTCAAATTCACAGTCGTTGAGCGCGGAAGTGGCAAAGGAGCCAAAGGAAAAACCCACACAGACAACGCGATTTTTGTTGAATGGCCGCTGTGTGTGCTTGTTTGTGTTTGTGTTGTTCGGCTAGTGTCTATGTAATCGCGCAAAGAAGTTCGGCGGCAGCGACTGTGTAAAATAGTGAAGCATAAAGGCCAAGCGAAGAAAACACATAAAACCAAAACAACAAAGTTCCCCTTATTCTTCAGAGTGTGTGTGTTTTCGGCTGTTATAGTGTTAGTGTTCCTTGTTTATTTCTGTTATATCTTGGCCCTTCCTCGTCTACCTTTTTGCTACCTGTGAATTGGTTAACTTTGTTGTTGCAGCGGCTTGCGTGCCGTCATTAAAGCGAGTTAAAACCAAAACAACATGCTCGAATATTAGTCGGCAAATGTAAGTACCAGCGTGAGTGTGGGTGTAAATGCAAATGTAAGAGTAAGTGTAAGTGACCGTGGCGCGATTTAATAACAATGCACCGTTGGGAATTACAAACTAAAATCACTCTCAAACGCGTGACTCGCGACTTCAAAATCGATAGGAACTCCCGAAATTCGCCAGCGTTGAAAAAACACAATGCTGCCCTTAAAAAACAAACACTATACAGTAGCGGTCAAAATAATAGTTTCAAGTGTCAGAAAGCCAGAATAAACATTTTTGTTTTTTTTTGTGTTTAAATTTTATATATGTGTTGATGTGTGTGGGATATCTTATCGCAATTTCTACAATAAAATAGTACTTTTTATCAAAACGTTGGCTTTTTATAAGTTTGTTGTCAAAACAATGTTTGTGATCCATCATTAAAGCGCCGTTTTTAATTTTAAAAGAAAATAGAATCACATTTAATTAGTTGAATTACTTAATTTTCTTGATGTTTTTAAGATGTAATTATTTTTTTACTAGCTTTAAGTAGTTTTGTTTAATAACTCTCATAAATACAGTGCTTGAAACAAAGTTTTTTACATTGACTTTAATTTATATTTCATTTTTCTTTTTAAAATATTAGCATTTTTTTTACCGCTGCTGTTAAAACCCAGATATGATATATGTATCATAAACAGTGACTCATTCGATTTGACTTTGCAAGTGCAATCTCTACGCAAATTAACTTTGGTGACCAAAAGGAAGCTATTTATAAGTCTAAAGATAAGAGACTATTGTCATGCGGAAGAAATCATTAGTCAAATCGAGAATGAATTATGATTTCCTATATAACCTTTAACCCCTTAAGTAATTAATTAAATTATAGAGTCCTCAACATAATAAAAATAAATATTAAATGCGCACTTTCTAGTTAAAAAGTTAAAGTGAAATACAAAAGAATACAATAATCTTTTCCCACATCAACTATTTCCTTTATTTCCCTCTCGAAATGTTGAGAATTTTCATAAAATGCAATGTGCTCTCAGTCGAGAATAAATTTAAATTTAGCCACGCGCCTTTCTGGCCCACTGACAACTCTCGAGATTCGCCGGCCGAATGTTCAGTAAAAATGTCATTAACCTCGCGGGCCATTTGAATTCGAATGTTGTCGCCAATGTTGAGACAGTGTAACGAATATTGAATATTATGCTAATGACACGAGATAACAATAAATGACATACGCACTCATATCTGTTTACATGACCGAGATATTTGTCTTTGTAGGTCAGCAATGTTGAAAGTTAGCTGTGCAAATATGATTAACCATAAAGTGAAATGCATTATAAAAGCAATAAGAAGAGGTCAGTTCTGCTGAATTGATAAGTTTGTTCAATGAATAGTATTGACAAAGAGAAAAGGAAAATGTCAGAGGATTGTTTATCACTTCGAGTGCCACTTTGTGGTGATGAAATATCGTAAAGGGTTCAGCAGGGGAATGTCAAGATCCCAGCTCAGGGTGCAAAGATTTTGGAACAAGAAAACAATAAATAATGATTCTCCTTTGTTGCTTTTTCGCGAAAGCAAATTGATTTACAGCGTTTCATATAAACAGCAGGGGTCAGTCAAACAGAACAACTGAAGAAAAAGTATAAATTCTACTATGAAGTCTTTTAAGTCTTTTATTTCTTTAAGTACTTGTAATTCTTTTATAAAAATCCATTTTTGAGCTATCATTATAAACTTATCATACAAAATTCTTATATATTTATATCTAAAATTGCGACGACAACTGTTTTACTTGCTTCTTATGTGTGATAAATAAGCTTGTTTGTTTTATACGCTCTATACATATATCCAGTTTAAAGTCTCGTTCTTATCGCATTTTCACTGTGTTTACCCAACACTTAAAACGCTCTCTCTGTTATATACTATTCCAATTTTAAGTTACATATAAATCAACAAACCTAGTTATTATTTAAATCGTTTGAAAAAAAATTAGTAAGCCCTCAAAAGCGATAAGTTACCTTGGTTGTTGCCTAATGAACTTCTGAGTACTACGTCACTGCATTGTTTTTTTGTTATTTTAATGGGTCTCATGAGCCGTACAAAAAATAAACAAAAAACCTAATACACACAATATACATTATATACGATCGGTTTTAAGCTCAACATACCTAACGTACCCCTGTAAACTAAAGCAACCGAAATAAATGATGTCATATTGGTCGAACCAAAATGGCCGGGATCACATGGCACAGAGTCGGATCGGCTGGGTCTTGGTAATATAATTTGAGCTCGACTCGGAGTCGAGTTCGTGGTGTGATTTTTGATCATTAGCTCACCGGTTCGCAGAAATTCTCGCATTTTTTGTAGTCTCTTTTATTACGGAAATTCATCAGTGTACATGGGAGATATATAGACATAATACACTGGAATAAATATCAAGATTAAATGGGTTATTTTACAGATTATTCTTAGGGAAATATTAAATTTAAAAGAATAATGCGTAACCTTTTTGTGGAAATTATTTATGGATTGTTTAAAAATAAAACAGAATAATATAAAATTTATTTCAGAAACAGAGAGTCTCGATAACATTATGAATCAGTATAATTTATGAAACTTTTCTCATAATTAAAATACCCTCAATAATATTTATAATTTAATTTTCATTTTACATGAGTAAATCATTCTTCTAGTGTACATTTTTCCTTAGACAATGAGCTCATCTTAGCTAAAGTCCCCTTTTATATAATGTATTTCCCTTACTTTGCCCACCAAAAATACCCACTAGTCAATAGATGTGGCATTCAAAGTTTAACTTTGAGTTTGTTTGGTTAATTGGTATCTAATCGCTGGAGGCTGACCCCCGGAGACACCTCTCGAAATCAAATGGAGACACCGCCCCACTCAGAAACGAGCTGACTTTGACATCGCCCACACGCAAACTTGAGCGATTCTCTCAGCTCAGAGCAAATATACTCGTAGTTATAGATATATATCTGAACATGCATTGGGGGTTTTTGTGTGGCATCGGCTATATAAATTGCTGCAATTAATATAATCAGCCCCGATGCTGTTGCATTTCTGTAAAATGTTAAATGCATTTCAATTGTTTTCCGCTACCTTCACTTCTCTAGTATTATTGTCGCATTTCTAATTGTGAAAAATACCGATTTTTAAATTTTAAATTGCATTTTTTTTGTGACGTTGTCAGCAATTCCTGGTACCACAATGAGTAATTACATAACATACCGCTGCTTTATCTCATTTCATTTCAGGCAAAGAGTTGAACTCTCTCATTTTCGACAAAAAACAAGAAACAGAGATGTGCAGACGCGATAAGACAGTCGAAAAAGAACAATCTCGGTTATAAGAGAGGAGGGAAGAGTGCTATAAAACCAACTAAATTTCGAGGAGAAGGTATCAAGAGTCAGTGGAAAAATGACAATAACGTATACCGGTGAAGTGGCCACTTGCCGCGGCTTTGGCTGTTTTCTCAAATTGCTGCTCAGGTGAGTGAAGTGGAGTGATGAGGTCTTATGTACTTCAGTCAGTTATTATTTATATAT